TGGATGCGGGAGTCTAGATTTCTGGGGATTTTTTAAAATCAAAATCTGATCCTCTCTGTCTGTCTGTCTCTGTTCTCCTCTCTCTCTCTCTCTCTATGTATATGTATATAATATATATATATATATATATATATATATTATATATATATATATATATATTATATATATGCATGTGTATACATTTATAAGTATATGTATATGTATATATATAATTTTCCGGCGTAGAGCGAACCTTTGCTGCCTCGTCGAACTCCCGGCAGAGATCATAGTTGACGAATGATGCATCAGCTACTGAAGTCTACTATTCTTTCACAGTTATCAACCACACGGTCTTCTTGTCACCATTTCTCAGTCTATTTACACTGAATGCGCCTCTTATGCAGGCTGCAGTATGTCCCTCATCTTGCGCTGATTTGTTCGATATCAAAACCATCTCAGTGCCACATTCTATAGTCATTTCTGGCATTGCACCTAGCATGAGGTCGCATAACATTCCCCCTTCTTCACAGTTCTCATGCAGTCATTACACCAGCTCCTCCAAGCGCGCATTACCTTCTTATACTTCCTCTCACGCCCTTCCCATCTCTCCGTTCGGCCGTCCGCGAAACCTCACGCCCTCTTTCACCCCTTCCCATCCAGCACCTCCCCTTCTCATCTCTCAACCTTCCCTCTCTCATCTCCGCCCTTCCCCTCTCTTCTCCCCCTTCTCATCTCTCATCTGCGTCCCCTTCCCTCTCTCATCTCCGTCCCTCTCTTCTCCCCCTTTCATCTCTCATCTGCGTCCCCCTTCCCTCTCTCATCTCCGCCCCTTCCCCTCTCTCCGCCCCTTCGGACCTCCTCGAAGCCTCACCTCGCACTCGGGCAGCCCTCCGTAGCCCCGGTGTAACTTTCGCGGGAGGAACGCCCCGTCGTCTGCCTCTCCCTCGGAAGACCCCGGTTCTGGGGGCTGAGAAGGGAGGGCGCTCCTGCAGTCCCAGTCCTGCAGAGGCTTCACGGGCGGGGCGGGGGCGTCGTAGATCAGGTCCCCCATCAAACACCACTCGTTCCTACAGCAGGCGTACACTCTTGACCCCTTGTAGCCGTACCCGAGTCGACCCGTCACCAGGAGGTCGAACTCGCGTCCTAGCCTGCCGAAATCTACCAGCTGTGTGTGTGTGTGTGTGTGTGTGTGTGTGTGTGAGTGAGTATGTATGTTTAGACGTGTTAAATGATTTCGCCATATTGATATAATAAAAATAAATCTACAGATAACGAAAAAAAATGATCATACATATTTACACAGTTATAACATCGATCAAATCAAATTCTGAAACCGTCTTGCGAATTTATCTTCCCCTTTTAGCTTTTAGCATCGCCTTTAATTTAGCTAATTTAGTTTTAGCGCCTTTAATTTAGCTTTTAATTTAATCTTAATTTTAATTTTAATCTAATTTAGCTTTTAGCATCGCCTTTGGCCTCCTTACCTTCAAGACTGTCCTCCCAATGAGCTCATTTTGGCACGAGAACTCCAGGTAGAGTCTGGTGCTGGCGGAAGGGGAGGGGAGGGGGGCAGGGATGGCGGTGGGGCTGCCAGGCAAGGTCACAGCCTGAATGCCGTAGGCGATGCCGGATATAAGCTGGGTCACCATCGCGAAGCTGTCTGGAATGGGGCGTTGTTGCAAGGAAAGCAAGAAGTGTTATTATTATTACTATATAATGAATCCCCTTCTCTCTGTAGTTGCTTTGTGTTTCAAGTTCTTTCTATTTTTGTCTATATCCACAAATTCTTTCTTTCAGTCCGTCTCTCTCTCTCTCTCCTCTCTCTCCTTCTCCTTTCTCTCTCTCTCTCTCTCTTTCTCTTTCTCTCTCTCCCCCTCCTTCTCTCTCTCTCTCTCTCCCACCCTTTCCCCCTTTCTCTGCATCTCTCTTACTTCCCCCTTTCTCTCTCTCTTCTTTTTCTTCCCCTTCACACCTTTCTCTCCTTTCCATCCCCTCTCTCTCTCTCTCCTCCTTCCCCCCACTCTCCCTTCTCTATATCTCCCATTCCTTCCCCCATCACACCCCTCTCTCCCTCTCCACATACCCGAACCAACAAACCATCACAGTTCACCCCAACCCTTCAGAACCGGGCGTGACGGCTGGTCGGCGGTCACGTGGGCCAACAACACCTCCCCGGGCTACTCGACGGGGAATTCCTGGTTCACGGTGCTGGGCGTGTTCTTCCCGACGGTCACGGGCATCATGGCAGGGATCAACATGTCTGGGGATCTCAGGAGCCCGGCGAAGGACATCCCCGTGGGCACGCTGTCGGCGCTGGGACTCAGGTGAGTAATCCACCGGGGGGGAGGGGTGGGGGTGGGGAGGGTGGAGGTGGGGGTGGGTGGGTTAGTGCTCTTAATCTCTTGTGGTTTTATCTCGTTCTTAATCTCTTGTGGTTTTTATCTTGTGGGTTTCTTAATCTCTTGTGGTTTTTATCTGTTTTCTTAATCTCTTGTGGTTTTATCTTGTTTTTAATCTCTTG